CAAGTATTTTCTTTCCAAATGTACAGAGCAGGATTGCCACAGTCTGGGAAAACTGAGAAATGTCAGGGAATTTTAAAAAGTCAGGGAAAACCTGGAAATGTCAGGGAAAAATCGTCAAATCATCCTCGAGTGAGTTTGACGGTAATTTAAGGAAAAACGGCGCATGAGCCCTCAGACGTTGCCAATCTTACTATGACAAATCACGGATTTTCGGGGAAAGTTGCAAGTATTTTCTTTCCAAATGTACAGAGCAGGATTGCCACAGTCTGGGAAAACTGAGAAATGTCAGGGAATTTTAAAAAGTCAGGGAAAACCTGGAAATGTCAGGGAAAAATCGTCAAATCACCCTCGAGTGAGTTTGACGGTAATTTAAGGAAAAACGGCGCATGAGCCCTCAGACGTTGCCAATCTTACTATGACAAATCACGGATTTTCGGGGAAAGTTGCAAGTATTTTCTTTCCAAATGTACAGAGCAGGATTGCCACAGTCTGGGAAAACTGAGAAATGTCAGGGAATTTTAAAAAGTCAGGGAAAACCTGGAAATGTCAGGGAAAAATCGTCAAATCACCCTCGAGTGAGTTTGACGGTAATTTAAGGAAAAACGGCGCATGAGCCCTCAGACGTTGCCAATCTTACTATGACAAATCACGGATTTTCGGGGAAAGTTGCAAGTATTTTCTTTCCAAATGTACAGAGCAGGATTGCCACAGTCTGGGAAAACTGAGAAATGTCAGGGAATTTTTAAAAGTCAGGGGAAACCTGGAAATGTCAGGGAAAAATCGTCAAATCACTTTCGAGTGAGTTTGACGCTTCGAACAACAAATGCCCCAAACCTATTTCTATCCGTGTCTTTTTAAAAATCTGGCACTTGAACAATTGTCAAGGATTTTCACCAAAATGTACTAGGAAAGTCAGGTAAAATGACGAAAATGTCAGGGAAATATCGTCAAACGACCTTCATTCGCTTTCTCGTGTGGGCTTGACGTTTCGAACAACTTTGCCAGAAAACTATTTCTACCCACGTCTTTTTAAAAATATGGCATTGGAACAATTGTCACGGATTCCCCGAAACGTGCGAGGAAAATCAGGGAAATGTCAGGAGAAATGACGAAAATGTCAGGGAAAAATCGTCAAATAACCTTGACATTTCGAACAACAAATTTTGCCCGAAAACTATTTCTGCCTATGTCTTTTTAAAAATCCGGCATTTGTTCAAGTGTCAGGGGATTTCACCAAAATGTGTTAAGAAAGTCAAGGAAATATCAGGGAATTTAATTTTCCAAATCCTGTGACAACTCTGCCTCAGACGTTGGAAAACTTCCTTTGACGAATCACGCATTTTCCCTCCGAATGTACAAAGAATTCAATTCGTACTTTAGTAGAAAGTATCTGAAAATTCCAATAAAAAATATTCATAACTGTCCTCATGAAGAAATATTTTCTGCGACTAAATTTGGCAACATTCGAATGCTCATACGACGTTTTTCCCTAACCCGGCAGTGAAATGCTTCTCCGTCCCTGCGACTCTGTCGTAAGCGGAATTTTAAGCACCGTCTGGCAACGCGCTAGCTCCGCCCCCTCGCGAGCCCCGGGTCGAGTCCCTTTTAGGACTGTTTCAGTTATGACGCAACGGGACGGGAGGGATCCACCGTATTGGAGCATAGGTACCGATTCGGAATGAGTCAATTATGCGTCGCTGCCAGCGAATTTTTCCCCGGTTTTTTGGCCGTTTTTGTCAGGGAAATCAGGATAATGTCAAGGATTTTTTTTTTTGAAAGTTGTTAGACAGCCTGATCTGGGTCCTAAAAGCTCCATGACCTAACCTCTAAAATCACTGACATGTCCGGAATTGCTGATTCAGCAATTCAATCGCTA